CACGCGCGCGCGCGCGCGCGCACACACACACGTGCGCACACACACGTGCACACACACACACACACACACACACGCACGCACGCACACAGAGAGCAGGATTCAGCAGCAGGATCCATCAAGATGACATGGAGACCAGATGGTGGACCCGCAACCCACCATAGTCGACCACTCCACCATCCCAGTGGGTCATGGGCTGCGCCGCATCCAGGATCTGATCCACCACCGGCTGGATGAGAGTGAGGGCGCGTGGTGTAGCTGGGATCGCTCAAAGCGGTGTCGGGTCTTCCCTAGCCAAAACAACTGTGGGGCCAGGCTGAATCTGAATGGGCCACTGCATGTGCATATGCCATCCGCTCTTGACTCACACAACACCCGGGCGTCAGGATATAGACAGCGGTAGAGAGATGTCCCTACCAACGTAGAGATGTCCCTGCCAACGCAATAACTTGGCGTAACCCACGGGTGACGCCGGGTTGCGTCGGATTACGGCGCGCGGCGGCCAGGCGCGTGCGCGGCGCGCAGATGGTCCGCTACCAAGCGTGATCCTGGGTTTTACTGGTTACCTGGGGGGCTCCATGTGCATATATGTGTGTGCAACAGCCAGCAGTATGTATGCTCGGTTCTGGCGGTCCCACCTTGAAGATGCGGCCCTCCATGATGGGCGTAGACAGGACCACGTGCTGCGCCTCGTCATCGTCCTCATCCTCCTCGCCGCCGCAGAGCGCTTGCTTTGTGGCTAGCGGCAAACGCCGCCACAGGCTCTGGGCCAGCTGCACCTTGGAATTGCTGGTGGGCAGGCGCGTGTGTGGTGCAAGGGGTTAAGGGGAGGGGCGTCAGTGGACTCAGTTACCGACTGCCAGGTTTGTGGCAAGTTTGCAAAGAAGAAACATGGTTGCATGCATGGATGAGGAATTCATTGCTGCCTGCGCACGCGTGTGCTCTCATCCACACACACCACACTCCCCACAACCATGTAGCCTTCCAGCCGCACATCCTTCTCAACACGCGACCGGCTTTTCCGACGCTTGCATGCACATCAATTGACACGCCAGGGCGCAAACCCATGCAAACATGAATGCACGCACGCACCCTCACACGCCACGCACACAAGCACGTATGCACGTGTGCATTCACGCACACCTGCACTCACACACATTGTGCTACTCACCCCTGGTGGTTGTCACCCTTGAACGTGCGCTTGGTCTCCTCCCAGGCTTTCATCAGCCGCAGGTAGTCGGCCGGCCTCTCCTCCCTCCAGGCCGTGAGCAGGCCAGCATCGCCGACCTCGGCCCCCAGCCAGGACCAGAAACGGTCGTCCAGAAGGTGGACCCTGCCAGCTCCGCGCGACGGCAGGCGATCTCTCTGGGGCGGTTTGAGAGGCAGAGCGCAGTCAGAGGTTGCCAGCCTGGCATCAACAGCTGCTTTTGGTTACGCAATGCACGGCCAACCAGAGAAGTCACTGCAAAGTTTGCAGGTGTCGGACCACTGGAGTGAGTCAAAACCTGCGTGCTGTGATCGTGCAAAACTGGTGTCCGCATTGATGACTCCACTCTACCATCTGCGCGGATTGCCCCCCTCACACCTGAGGTGGTCGGCGTCGCCGCTGTCCTTGCCAGGGACCAGCTCGTGCAGTGTGATGTCAGCCGTGCCTCCACCCAGGTCCAACACCAGAATTGTATCACCTGCGGCAGGTTTGAGCATTGCAGGAGGGCAGGGGAAGTGTGTGGCAGCGAATAACGTGTTGCAATTTGGGAGCCAGCATGACAGTTATCATGTGGCAAACAAGCCAACAACAGCCAAAGCCTCTGTGTATATTACACACGAGGTAGATGATGGGGTGGGTGTAGACCTGCACTGCAAATACACACTTGCACGCAGCTGGCTTGTGCAGGGTGGGGTTCTGGCGCTAAGCGCCCGGCACGCGAGCTTCACCTTTTGCAAGGCTGAGAGCGGGCCAGTACTCCTTCACAAGTGCCACTGCCGCTGCCTCAGGCTCGTGCACCAGCTGCAGCCTGCGGGAGCCTGCATTGAAAGGGCAGGGTTGCAGAAATCATTTGAAAGGGGCTGCAGGTGGAGGGAGTGCATCCAGGAAGAATGTCGATCCTGGAAGGGGCAACAAACAAAGGACAGCAAAACTAGCTTGTGTGGATGTTGTGATTGAAAAGACGAAGATGAAGCTGGCACTGGCGGCTTGTACGTCCCTCCCTGGAAACCAGCAGCAATCGAGCACGAGAGCAGCAATCCACAGCTTGTGGGTGCAGACACCAGATGAACGCGGGCGCTGTCATGTGCTGATGCCTTTGACCCACCAGCGTCGGGGATGACGCCGGCCTGGTGGGCGCAGCGGCGCATAGTGTCCTTGGCCTGGTCGCTCAAGCTCGCAGGGACAGTCAGAACGTACGATGCTGCGGCTGCGTGCGCCAGGTGACAGCAAGGGAGGAAAGCCCAAGCATGGGCGATGGTAAACATCAAACAACGAAGATCAGCAACACGAGCAATTCGGCGGTTCAGCAAGGTGAAATGTCCCCAATTGGTGCACATATTGGTGCACTTTGTTTGGCAGCCTCGGCCTGCCAGCCCTAAATCAAGCGCGCAAACGAGGCGGTTCCAAGCAAACGAGTTGCGCACCCTCGTCCCACATCTTTGCGTAGCGCGACCGCGCCAGCCAGGCCAGAGCCTGGCGGTGCAGGCCCCCCAGGTAATCGGTTATCACCCGCTCCAGGCCCAGCCCGGGCGGCAGCGGCGCCAGCGAGGCCGGGCTGGGGTGTGCCAGGTGCAGCTTGAAGCGGGACAGCAGGACATGGGCGGCGCGCTCGTGAGGGCTCATCTTGGTGTGCTTTGAGTCTGCTGCATAGCCGATGTCCACCAGCTCGTACGTCGGGGTGGCGGGCTCGCCATTGCTGGTGACGGCGGGGGCAACCTTGGGAATGGTGCCGGCCGCTGAAGCGGCGGGGCTGCTGGATGTGCAGGAGATGGCGTCCCAGCCGTCCAGGTCGTCGTTGAATGCGGCCCAAGCGCCGGCGCTGCCGCTGCCCGCTACACGGGCACCGACGGAGGCCGGCAGGGCAGGGGTGGTGATCCTGGGGCGATTTGGGTGGCAGCAGGGACGCTGTGGGGCTGAGATAAGGCTTCACAGAGCATCGTGCTGACACAAGAGAAAGAGATGGGGGTTTGATGGGGGGAGGATGCATGCCCAGTTACTGACAAAAGTAACAGGGATCATAGACAGTAAGAGGTGCGGCTGGGCAGCAGGGCGCCCATCCTTGATCTCTTGCCTGTAGAGGGAAAGTGTCGGCATCTTGGGGTAGGGCACATACGCGTCCTGTGTGTGCGTGGCAATTAAGGCCAACAGGGGCGATGGTGCGTGAGCAGGCTCGCTAGACGGAGCTGTCCGATCGTGCCACTCAAAAGGAGTGCTGCACAGGGCCGGCGGGCAGTCCCCAGTGAGCACTGCAGGCGCGCAGCCTGCAAGGTGAGATCTCAGAGCCTAGCGTGATACACGCGTTTCAAAATCCAGCCCCTGTCCATAATCATCAGGTTCGTGCAGGTGCACGCTTGTCCGAACCTCCCAGGCAGGCAAAGTTGCTGTCACCAACCAGCCAAACGTCAGGTCACCCGCCTGGTACGGAAAGTTGTTGAGCACGTCGGGGTCAGACCCCAGGGCCTTTGCGGCCACGCCACTGAAGGAGGTGCCAAAGTCAAGGCTCACCACCAGCCCGGGCGGCTGAAGGATGGAGCAAGCAGGAGACGCCATCTTGTCTCGGCCCTGCGGGGGGTTGTGTTCGCACAGTTGGCAGCAATTGGCAGGGGCGCACTCGGTGTAGCCTGTGCCAGGGCACTTATGTTGAAAATTGTATCAGTTAAACGAGTTCTACCAGTCCAGAAACCACAGGTACAAAGCATTTGATCGCACGGTTTGCCGGGCAGGCAACGGCGCACCCTCCACAAGTGCCAGACCGGTGAACGTGTAACACCTGGACGTCAGACAGTACAAGCGACTGACATAAAACATCAGAAGGCGATGCGTGTTCAAAACAACACGTGATCAGCACGATGCGTGCTCCGTGAAGAGTCACGGAAGCCGTTGAAACCCCTCGGGAGGCAGTTGTGGACAAGCGTTTCGATTGGGTCGTATGGCCCATCAAATGTTCCAAATCCGTACAGCGTGGGTGTTAATCACTACAAAGATGACTAGCATCCTGTGCTCCGTGATCCCATCATGGATGCGCCGCAGAAAGGCGTCCTTCGACTCCATTCCGCTTGCGCAAGCCTCCGAGGCTAGCTGCCCAGGGCCGATGGCGCCCATCAGCCGGGGCAGACGCCATGGCGCTAGGAAAGTTCACTCACTCCAGGTGAATGCATAGCTGCAGCGTCACACATGCCAGCACATGGGTCACCCATGCGTGCATTGTGAGCGCCTGCTTGCGTGACAAAGGTATGAGCACACCACCAGAGCATCCTCTCACACTTTCAGTGTGCCCTGGAGGAAAAATCCGAGCAAGCGCGCCAGACAAGGTGACAGCTTGATGAGGCATCTCATGTGCTGGCCCAGCTGCAAGGCAGGCTGGCTGAGGCTGAGCGTCAGGTGCGCTGCGCAGCTGTATGACCCTCGCCACACTCACCTGCAAGGCCAAAGCAGCGCCCGCGCTGGAGGTGCAAGGTTCGTTACAGTTCCACTCCATCTGTGTGACAGGTCACAGCCCTCGGGGCCTCGGAATATGTTGTTTGATAAAGTGGATCCAAGACAGTCAGACGTCATTGCAGACCTGGGACACAGGATGCACATAAATGTCTGACTCATACCTCTTCGTACCAGGCGTCCGAAGAACAGCGGCTGAAGCATGAGATGGGAAGACGGATGGAATCCCTGCAGCTGCAGCTGGACCAGGAAACAAGCCAGGTGGGCTAGGCACACTGAGTCGCTCAGCGCGCATCAAGTGCGCTGAGTTTGAAAGCCTTGCTTTGAAGTGCAGGCACATACTTGAACAGCCTTTGACTCTGTGTCGCATGCCGCCCGTCGCTGATTGTTTTCAAGCTGAGTTTGCTTCGATCGCCAGAGTTGTCTGCCCCACCTGTGGCGCACATGCTCCGTGGCGCAGTGCGCCTTCCAGGCAATGCTGGCTGACACACGCGAGGAGGAGGCGCGGCGCCTCAAGGCTCAACTGCAGCAGATCGAGCAGATGGTGAGCCGAGCGCAAGCCTATCTGCGCTTCACTAGTTTGCTTTTTCACCACACAGCGCAGATTCGTCCGGCCCGCCTGTGGGCGTGACGTTTTGAAGCCACAGGCAGCACTCCAGATGCAGCCCTGGGAAACCGCCCCACGCTCAACCAACCCCCTGGCCCAGGGCCGCCTAGCCACACCGCCCCTGCTGTCTGGAGACGTCCCAGAAACCCTGGGCCTAAACGCTGCACACATCGAGGCAAGCGTGACGGCCCTGGCGGGCGCTGCCAGGGCCCTGCGTGCCGAGCTACTGCGCTCCAAAAAGCGCGTGCCCGGGCTGCGGCCGCTCCTGGAGCGGCTGCCGGTCCTGTCAGAGGTGCGGGCTCACGAGGGGGGCGGCGATGAGGTGGGCATAGAGCTGCGGGAGGCGGCGTTCTGCCAGCCGCTGTGGGCCTGCCTGGAGCGCCTGCTGTGGCGGCCGTGGCAGGGATACAGCAACTGCAGCGGCAGCGGCAGCGCTGCCGCTAGCAGCAGCGGCAGCGGCTTCGGGGGTCAGGAGGAGTGGGGCCCCGCAGCGGTGCTGCCGGCGCTGCTTCGCACTAAGCCCGCCGTCATCAGCGCCGCAGCCGCGGCACTGCGGGCCGCCAGCGGGGAGGATTTTGCGCAGCAGGGCGGCGGCGGGTGCGGGGATGGCGCGTCAGCATACCGCGATGAGGCGCGCGTCTGCCTCGACGCCGCCACCAGCCAGGGCGTGCAAAAGGGCGGTGGCGGGCTGCCCGGTTGGTGCAGCCGGGGCGGTGGCGGCGCCGGAGTGACGTCAGCGGCAGTGGGTGCGCCTGAGCCCCTCCTGCCCACTGCAGCCCTCGACGACTTGAGCTTGCAGATTCTCTACGAGGTCGTCTGGGCTGCCGCTTGGGAAGACCAGGGGCAACCCGCCGCAGTGCTCTCACACTTGCTGGCCGACGCGGCCGCGACCGCTGCGCTGCGCGCGGCGCTGCGCGAGCTGGTGTGCGCGGCGCTGCGCTGCCGGCTGGCCGCGGAGGCCCTCCACCCGCTGCTGATCGTCACGGCGCGGCCGCCTGAAGAGTGCAGCGTCTGGCCGGCGCCGTCGAGCGCTGACGAGGCGGAGACTGTGCAGGTGGTGGAGTTGGGGGGGCCTGCGACCAGCAAAGCCAGCGACGGCATGGGCGGGGGCGGACGCCTCACGAGGGAGGAAGCAGAGCTCTGCTGCGCGCGCCCCGGCGTGCGCATGGGGCCCGCGCTCGCCCTGCTCGTGGCCGCGTCGCCCGGCCGCGGCGCTGCGGCGCCTGCCGGTGACGCGACGCAAGCGCCACTGGCCCATGCCCCTGTGGTGAGCCGGCGCATCATGCTGAGAAGGCAGGTGTTCAAGATCGGGCGGTTGGCGGCGGTTGACGGCCCCAACCCCCAGGTCCCTGATGGCTCACTGCTTGTGAATGGTCAGTAATGCACCCCTTGTTATCTGACGTGCACCGTCTCACTGGAGTACAACATTTGCAAGGTGTTCGTTGTCTTGAACGATCAGGGAGCAAAAGCTTGAATTACTGGCGTTTTACAGCGGGGTTACGAGCTGCAGTGCAGCAAAGAATGATCAAGCAGCCCGACAGCTGATGCAGTGCACTCTAGGCCGTGCGATCCTAGCAGCTAAAACCTAGCTCCAACTTCGTAAGATCAAGCAATCACAACTATGGGCATCTGCCCCGCCGCGGCCGCTGGGCGCTCCGTGCCGGCTCCAGCGCCGACGGGCTCCGCTCCTGGCGGCCGCCGGGATAGCACGCCCGGGCGCCGCGGGTCCTGCTGTGGGTCGAAGCCGGTTGGCACGGCGCCCTGGCAGCCGAAGAGGCGGTGGCAGCCCTCCACGTTGAGCGACACGATGGACGTGCTGCGCGTCAGCAGCGCGTGGATGCCTGCGGACCAAGAACGCGTTTGCGCGGTGCGCGCCACATCGTGACACAGCGTTCCTCATACGCTGGTGTATACATAACGCGTATGCAATTGGTGCTGCGCCCATGGTGGCAGCTTACTGGATAGATTTGTGCACCCGAGGAGGTCTTCACATCCAGCCACAAGCCAGGCGCGTCAATGCAGTGCCCCTCAGACGCGTCATGGGACAGGGGCAACGCACCTTGCTCCGACAGGCGCCAGCAGGCGCGCACGTTCACGTCCGCCAGCGAGGGGCAGGCCGCCAGCCGGGCCAGCGCGGCGTCGTCGACGCCGCAGCAGAGCGCCGCGTCCAGGCGCCGCAGGTGGCGCAGGCGCGCGGCAGCAGCAAGCGTCCTACAGGGAGGGGACACATTTCGGTCCGACGCGCGGTGATAAAAATGCAGCATGAGCAAGCCTATGCCGATTCGCCAGTGTTGTATCAGCATTGCTGTGCAAGCGCGTTGGACTGTAGCTTGATCCTGCTGCCACCCCTAGCACAAGCCGCCAACCCAGACAGACAGTGGCCCTCCTGACAGCCACCGCCCACCTGGCGCCGACGTTCCTGTTGCCGGCCAGCGACAGGCTGCGCAGCCCCGCCGCGGCCGCCAGCAGCGCCGCCGCGCCGCCCTCCCCCACGCGCTCGCACCCCGACAGGTCCAGACGCCGCAGCCGCGCGCCCAGCGCCGCCGCGGCCGCGGCCGCGCCCGCGTCGTCCAGGGCGGCGCAGCCCGCCATCACGAGATCCTCCAGAGCCGTCAGCCCGGTCAGCGCGGCAAAGCCGGCGCCAGTCAGCGCGCGGCACCCGGTGACGTCCAGGTGAGTCAGCGCGTGCAGGGGAGCGAGCGAGGCCAGCTGCGGGTCCGACAGCCAGGGCGAGTGAGTGAGCGCCAGCCGCC